AATCGCGAAAACCTAAGAACTATGGCAGCCATATTGAAAAATGGCGAAAAATCAATTTTGACCACAAATTATTATCAAGCACTCCTCGAGACCCCCGTATGCCAATTTTCAAAGGGATCTGAGCAATTTTTTTCTGCCTTCAACGAACGCTTCTATGACGGCCATATTTGAAAATGGCGAAAAACAAATTTTGAGGACAAATTATTATCCGGCATTTCTAGTGGCCTTGACATGCCAATTTTCAGTCGAATCAAAGCAAATCTCTTGTGGCAGCTAATTTTAAGTATAAAACACTTATACGGCAGCCATATTAAATAATGGCGAAAAGAAATTTTTGACCACAAATTATGATTGAGGACTCCTAAAGACCCTCGCATGCCAATTTTCATCCGGATCGAAGCAAGTTTACCGCCCTTTTGAAATCGCCATCTTGAATTTTTTTTAACCCAGAGAGTTGACAAGTGTTACCCTCTATGACATTCCTTCGAGCACCTCCTACCTGTCTCTAATAGTTTCCGTGATAAGAAGCTTTGAAATTTGTATGGCGGCCATCTTGTTTCTTTGAATTTCGAACATTTTTTTCTTCCCACGGAAATTGATCAGGGCGTATCTCATACAAATGCACAAAAATCTCCCGCAAAAATGTATTGTAGCTTTTGCAGGCCGTTGATCACTCGTTTACATTTTCCACATTCAGGTCTCATATTCGATTGTTTGCCTTGGAGCCTATCCGCGTACAACGGTATAAATAATTTTTTCCACCATATCGGGATGTATGCGTTCTATTTCTAAGTGAGTCTAAACGTGTAGCTTTATATATATAATATTATAAATTGAAATAAACATTCTTAAATTGTATTCCGAAAGATTTCCTTCCCTGAAATGCCTAGGAAGTAATAACATATGTTTTTATATTCCTTTAAGTAGTTGATTTATTTACAATATCGACCGGTTCCTTAACCTTGAACTTCAAAATTCACGTCTTATGTGCAGTTTTGCCTCATTTTGAATGAGTTTCGTAAGAGGTAGTTATTTTTAGGACAGTTTTTACAGGTGCATATAATGTTTATTTACCTGTTTGACATTACTTTTGAGATTCATGGAACAAGTTGAAGTAACTGTAACTCAGGGGTTGGGGTAGGATTATAGTGGTAGCATAGCGGGAGAGGGTCGTTTTCAAATAACCTCAAAAAATGTATCTCTTATATTTTTACATGAATTCTAAACATTTATTTAATATGATTGATTGTTTACTTAGACAATTTTACTACGCTGTAATAAATTAAAATTAAAAGAGTGGGTAATTTTTCATTCATCGGAGCCGGTTGCACGCCTCCCTAAGTTCAAGAAATGAAGAAAAAACGTTAGACACTCGTGGAAATTGCTATATTTCTCATCAAGGATAAACTTAAATAACTTTCACGTCGAATAATACCGTAACTTTACAATTTATTCTAAACAAATATGTTTTCCTGGGAATACAAAATATGTTCAAAATTTTGTTATTATTACTGTAACTTCACGTAAAAATCGTCTAATAACAAAAGTTCATACCGCATCGTCTTCACCCTTCGCACACGTGAGAAGGAGCTCCTGCCGGATTGGAGTGTACACCGTGAAGTAACTTGCGCATCTCCCCTTTTTGCAAAAGACCGACTTAAACTAATTTCAGTGCTTGTAATAAAATCAATCTGTCTAAATCATTGACTTACAATTATATGGACGTCGGGTCCGCGCTAAAAAGTGTCCGCACTTGTAAGACGCTAAAATCGTATACAGAGCGCCAAACTCCGCTTTAGTCTTCATTTGTTCGACTAACAGCGCGATACTGCGATGACATTACAATTTAAATTTCGAATAGGTTGACTTGGGACATTTTTTTCGTGGTTTTTGTATTAGACCCGTCGTCCATTTATTTGTAAGTCAATGGTCTAAATAAATATTGTGTTATAGTCTTATAAACTTTATTGTGCACCAATTAGACAAAGGGAACTTTAAAATCCTCGCACTTTTATAACGATGTAGAATATTCTACGACCTTGACAATTAAAAATGCATTCTAATATCATTCTTGTCGCTCTCATTCTTGTCTACTTTTAAATCAAACAGTTATTTTAAGTGTAACAATCAGATGGTGATAGTGGTGGTGATGACGGTGGTGGTGATGGTAACTTTGAATATGGTGATGGTGACTGATGATAATGGTATTATGATGATGGCTGTGATCATGGTGATGATGATAATTATATTGATGTACAATAATGTTTAATAGACATTAACAAAATACTTATTTAGATAGATGGCCTTATTCGGATGAGAAGGATTTTGTTACAAGAAGTGAAATTAAAATGTTTGTTACATGTTAAAATGTTGTTAATGACATTATTGTATTAGTGTTTTGGTTTGTTGGTGAATCCCAAAAACTCACAGGCTATGATTGTGGGAAGTGGGTATATGCGTGGCATATTGCATCTAGATTCTGTCCCACCTATAGCGTATAATTCCACGCCTATTGCTTATGCTTCTACTGCAACTAATCTTGGTTTGCTTTTAGATTGTAATTTGGTTTGGGCTCCACATATTAATGAAGTCAGTCGTAAAGTGCATTTCTCCTTGCACTCACTTAAGTGCCTCCAAAACGATTTACCTTTAAAAACCAAGATATGTTTAGTCCAAACACTTATTTTGCCCTTCTTAGACTATGCTGATTCCTGCTATTTGGATGCTACTGAAGAACTGCTAAATAAGCTTGAACGACTGCAAAACCTATGTATAAGGTTCATCTTTGGGCTTCGTAAATATGACCGAATTTCACATTTCCGCAGTCAGCTCAAATGGCTTCCCATCCGTCTCCGCAGGAATTTGCATATTGTCTCCATTCTTTACAATATTTTACATAACCCTGTGTCTCCCGGGTACCTGAAAGAGCGTTTCAGCTTCCTTAGGTCCCAGGATAAACCCTGTCGCTCTCTTGTTAGGTCCCAGTTATCTTTTCCATGCTTCAATTCCGGTTTCTATTCTCATTCCTTCACTGTTCATGCGGTCAGACTTTGGAATGCACTTCCTATTACTGTTCACGAAAGTAAATCGTTAGCTATTTTTAAAGTGAGAGTTAAAGAGCATTATTTATCTACTATTCCATCCATATCTTAGGTATATATTATAAAATATGTATTTATCTAAGTATTTATATAATTTAAAACAATTTAATATTTTTATATTATTTTTATTTATTTTTTTCCTTGTTTTGTTGTGCACATATGCCCGTTCTTTTAGTTATAGTGTCCTGTATTTAGGTCTGCAGGAAGAAATTTCTATTAGAAATAAGCAGAACCTTTTGTTTTTAATTTCGCTTGTATTCTTTGTGACTTGTATTTTTCCTGTACAATAAACTATTAAATAAATAAATAAATTATTTTGTACTTTTGTATGTGTACCTTAAAACCGAAAGAAAAATGAGTTTTACAAAAATCTGAAGGTGAGATTCACCCCATTGAAATTCGAAAAGTGTAATCACCCGAAAACGGTCCCTTCCAATAATTATGAAATCAACGACGGTCCGAAATCTATGTACCTATATTTGTGAATATTTAGTAGCTATCCCTTTTGCTAACGGTGAAGAAAACATCGTTTTGTTTTTTGGTTATTAACAGTGTTTGAATGTCATCAATTTATGGTAAATTAAAAAAAGATACTTTTGTAATGGTGGAAGAGAACAACGCAGCACTTCTAGGACACGTAATGGGTTAAGTATGTAGGTTCACAACCCCTGGAAACATGTTAAGTCCTCATTGTATTGGCCCAGCGTGGCGATATATAACCCTCTCATTATAGAAATCTTATGCCCAGCAGTGGGATACGAAATGGTTTAATGATAGTCTACTTTTCGTATTCAGAATAAACTTAATCAACTTCTGCTGTTGGTTCGTCGTTTCGTCTGTTTTAAAAAATACTCCTTACTTTGATATAACAACACAAACTCTCAAAGTCCCGCACTAGGGAAACCTAGTGTCGCGGGTGACATGGACACACACATAGACAACTACAAATTACACTCAAACTCACGAGATAAATGAATGTAGGCCATACAAATATTTCTCCCGACCAAGGAATTGAATCCGGGACCTCTTCGTGACAGGTCAGCATGGTAACCGTTCGGTTACGGAGACACTTACATAAAATTATATAAAGTTATCATGAAAATTATGCAGAGAAAGGTTACTAATGTTGTAATTAATGAATTCGTACATAAAGAAACTTGTATTACTCACAATAAACCTTAAAGTTTGTCGAAAAAAACCAATACGGTAGATGATATTATATATTTACTATACTACACGCAAAATTAAGTTTGTTTTGGTTCATTTTTTTTTTGTAATTCACTTCAGATTTTACACATCTTTTTTCGACGTGTTTAAAAAACTAAAAACTTGTAGGAAATGAAACTATTTTTCCGGATTTACATCGCGTAATCAGTCAGTCAACCATGACCATGGGACCTGTAAAGGGCCCGAAACGTCGGTTTGTTTGAAAAAACAAATATACACGATTTAAATCCGGAAAAATAGTTTCCTATGTGTAACAATCGCGAAAACCTAAGAACTCGATAAAAACTTGTAAAAAAGTAAATAAGTTTTTTTGCTTACCTATTACATACTTGTATCTACCGTACAAAGTTCAACGTACTCTACGTTGATCGAGTTAGGTCAATCTATTTCCGTATGTCTCAAGTTCTGTGTAAGTTAACGACCCCCGCCCGGTCGCCTCAGTCACAAATTACCAAAATGTTCTTTAAAATTGGAATGGTCAAATATTGGAACTCAATTTTTTGTTATTTAATTTTTGTGCTACACGAGTTTGGAATTATTATCGGTACAGTGATTTGAAAGTGCATTTATTGTTTTACATTTTTGATTCAATAAAATCTTATGTAAACTCGCATATATTTTTAACATTTCCGAAATAAAAATCTCATTGTTGTATTCTCTTTTTTATTTCAGGATGCATGTCTGCACTCTGCGTATTCGTACTCTACACAAAGCATCTCATCATTGTATACCTCTACCTCATGTCAGTGGGCATAGTCTTCGTCTCGTATTGGACCAATGTATCAGCTATAAAGCAGATTCAAGCGCTCGCGCTATCCACGTCAGATGGACCCTCCACCAGCATCCTCGAGGATATCCTCAACTTAAACATGAAAAATCTGCTTGACCTCGACGGCCCTGGAATCTTAGTCATTCAAAACTTCGCCATACAATTCCTACTATCAGTCCTCTTCAGGAACGTCCACTTAGGCCCCCGACACCCAACCGTACAAAAGCTGTTGTCCCTCAGTTTCATGGCGCCATCTTTTATGGCCATGCTGCCAGTGCCTTCAAACCTCCTACACCATTCCCCGGTTTTCTCCTCCCTATTACCACTTTTCCTCGTGAAATACGTCCTTTGGTCGTCCGCCTATAACGTGATTCAAGTTATTTACGCTGGATATCAACACGGAAGACTGTTTGTTAGCAATTACGGATTATCGGCTTTGGTGGAAACCGAATGGATGCGTTTAAACGTGCCGTGTGTGTTAAGAGTGTTTTGGGTGATGCGTGTAGCTGAACACGCAATTTTACTACTAATGGACAATTACGACGAAGACACAGAGGAAGTAATCAAAGTTTCCACCCTACTAGCTGTTCAGTCACTCGCCTCGATGGCCAAGTCTTTGCTAGTAACGGGATGTGAAACCATCACTGCAGTTCTCGGCATGACTTCAGTGATATCTTTCTTCTGTCACTACATAGGCAACTTCTTTCAGTGGATTCTCCTCACGGACGAAGAAGAAGACAAAAGTATCGGAACTGTGTCTGCGATATTGTTCTACATCCTTGCCCTACAGACCGGACTCACGTCTCTGAACCCAGAGAAGAGGTTTATCCGATTATGCAGAAATTTTTGCTTACTATTCACAGCTTTGCTACACTTTTTGCATAATATAGTCAATCCGATGTTGATGTCGCTGAGTGCGTCTCACAATCCCAGCACACATCGCCACGTTCGAGCGCTGGGAGTCTGTGCGTTCCTCATCATTTTTCCAATATCGCTACTCGTATACTTATGGTCACAGCACACCATATCGACTTGGTTGTTGGCTGTGAGCGCCTTCAGCATAGAAGTGATAGTCAAAGTAATAGTCAGTCTGATGATATACTCGCTGTTCCTGATCGACGCATACAGGAGCACGTTTTGGGAGCAACTCGATGATTATGTATACTACATAAGAGCTTTTGGGAACACTATAGAGTTCTGTTTTGGGATATTCCTATTCTTTAATGGCGCGTGGATACTACTGTTTGAATCGGGAGGAGCGATTCGCGCTGTAATGATGTGCATCCACGCTTACTTTAACATCTGGTGCGAAGCCAGAGCTGGGTGGTCTGTGTTCATGAAGCGACGTACTGCAGTGAACAAAATTAACTCTCTACGAGAGGCGTCTGCAGATCAGTTGGATAGATTGGATGATGTTTGTGCAATTTGCTATCAAGAAATGCATTCTGCGAAGATCACTCGATGTAACCATTATTTCCACGGAGTTTGTTTGAGAAAGTGGCTTTACGTCCAGGATAGATGTCCACTCTGTCACGATATTTTATACAAAATAGACAGTGATAACAAAGATAACAATTCGGAGACAGGGAACGAAGAGAACAGCAACAACCAGAATCTACTTTTAGAGGAGGACCCAGACCTCTTGCTGGGTGAGGGAGTTAGATGACTGCTTGATGAAGACATGAACCACTTAGATTAAATATGGCAAATTCTCTAGTGGTATTTTTTAAAATTTGTATAGTAAGTTATTGTTTTTTTAAATAATGTAAATCGGTTATACCTGTGATTTGAGAGTTAAATTCTGTCGTGTGATGATTTCATTTTGCATTGTGGCGTTTTAGTCTAAGTTTAGTGGTTTATCGAATGCTTTGTCGGTTTCCATTTTTCATGTTCCATTTTCGGATTTAAAATTAAAAATCGTGTATTTGGGCGTAAAAATACAATTTAAAAATGTTTTAAAAGTTTATGGATATGATAAATAAAATAAAGCTATTTGTAAATAGTTAAGGTATTTAGAAATAGCTTTTAACATTCGAGTATGACTTAATGAAAAAAATTATAAAAATAGTAATTTTTCTCATAATAAACTGTAAATAAACTTATTTTAGTAGTAAAGCTTGTTTGTTCTTTGCTTGGAAAGTATATTTTGTACGTAATTGCTACTACTGTGATCAAATGGAAAATCTTATTATAAAGTCACTAGAATTTTGTCAACGATTTATTTACATAAACAAACACGTATAATGGCAGTATCAACATTTTTATTAACAATATTAGTAAAACATAAAAGTTAGGTAACAATGAATCATAGCTAGAAAATTTATAACAAAAATAGGGATCCAAGAGTGTAAGTAAAAGTTAACCTGCACTTAAAAAATATTTCGACTAGGGCGAATTATTATCTCAAAATAATCGTGGTATGAGTTGTGAAGGTACTAATTTTTGTATAATAAATATTGGACCAGTACAATTACGAACTATCCCATTAGTAAACCACCTTTTTTATACCTGTGGTGACAAATCTGTAAAAGTAATAACTGAAAGAAAATAAATTATCTGTTAATGTCTCATGGGTTATTTCAATACTGATAAAATATACGTTATCTACCCATATAAACCAAGTTATTTCTCTTTACCCCCAGTTTGTATTTTATTGAATTAAACTTATCTCATCTTTGTTTAACCAGAGTCCGTTTCCTGTTAAGCTGCTTTAGCTCCTTAATTACCGGCGTTTCATTGATTTTCGTAGGGTAGTTTCACAGAATGGACGCGAGATGTATTATAAGAGTAACACTTGGACAAGTAATAAAGACATTAGGATTCGTCTCCTAGTTCGGCTGTTCCCAGTAAACTAATCGGCATACGGAGTCAAAATTTGCTTAACGGAAAAGGACCCTTACAAAGTGGTCCTTCGAGCCGGTACAAAGTTAAGCGAAGTACAGTCAGGTCATATTTAATTAAAAAATTTCAATTAAATATGAGGTCCTTGTAATTGGAGAGCAAGTAATAGTTAGACACGCGACAGTTGGTTGAAGTGCGAACTACAGTGGTGCGGTCGGCACGTTCGAAATTCGCCTTAACGATCTCGTAGTAACGACCATCGCTGAAGAATAAAAATTACTTTGTTAGGACGGCATTGATATTACAGAGTAAATACGGACTTAAGTATAACTGCAAATGTGAGCTTGTATGTTTTAGAAGGTTCGCAAAAAAAAAAAAAAACTGCAACCCGCATTGGACTAAAGCTTCACCATGACTTAATATCTATGAATTATCTGTTTCGAGACCACAAATAAGTGCCCAACAAGCATTGGTCTACGGATACTGAACTCAAAACCACAAAATTCCAGGAGCAGCGTAACAACTGACACTGGAAAGAAATACCTAATGTCTACTAACCTGAGCACGAGACACTTGAGTTTCAAACATTTGACACGCAAAATGTCGATTGCTTTCTGACTCTTGTCGCTGAAGCGCAAATTCTCAGGGTCCCAGCGCAGCTCCAGTCGCTCCAGATTTGGACAATGATTTGCAATGCCATCCATCAACTGGAAATAATTAGAATCGTGCGGATCACTAGATTGAAAAAGGATTGTGGCCAAACGGCGGGCAAAAGGGATAAATGTTATAGTCGCACGATGTACAGATTCTGAAGGGAAGCAGAAATGCTACAGAATTTGATTATTTCTTACCTGGTCGACGTGAATGTTAACACCCAAGCGCTCCTGAGTACCCATGATCAAAATTCTGGAAATAAGATTATCTTGCATTGAAATTTGAAAATTGACCTTTTTAAGTCAACAGGATCAAAGCATTGGTTTGATCGCCAAATGGCTCCCATTTTTGTTCCTACTAATTATCATCTAAAAAGTTTACCGAGTGATGCTGTATACTTAGTTGTTTTGCGCGTAATAAATAGTAGTTATTTTGATACTTCCTTTGTTTTGAAGCACGTTCATTTGACTAGATTAGGAATTTAAAGAAAAGTTATGTTAAAGAGTATAATGCAAGAAGTTCAAGAAGCGTGCTCTTTTACCAAAGACAGACGAAGTACCTAAAACTGGGATGGATATCTACGTCTGTCATACTCACTTGGAATTGACCAGTAACTGCAACACACTCTGCCAAAGCTGATCAGTAATATGTGGCATGCCGCTGAGTACAACTCCCCACAGCTGGGCACCATGTCGTGATAAGAACCTGTGCAATGCCTCATCCGAGAGATTATCTGAAGAATCCACGTCCAGAGCTACTAAATTCCTGAAATTTCGAAAGGTACATAAACAAAAATATCGAATATACCTACTTGCGCAAATACAGCGAACGTAAGCGAAGAAATAAATATACGAAAAAAGAAGGGAAAAATGTCCATAGTGGACCCGATCCCTCACTTGTTGTGCTTTCAATGATTAGGTTTCAAAGGCCAAATGTCAGGAGGGTATAATAAAGGGTACGCTTAAATAAACTGACGAAAGTGTCGCGGAAAACCTATCCATATAAAGTCCTCGTTTAAAATGTTTATATGCCGAGGATACATGCGACATTCTTTCCTAAATAAAATATCCTAGACATCTCACCTAGCTGTGCCAGCTTCCATCCACGCTTTTAACACAGAATCGTTAAATCCATTGATTTGTCCAGCGCTCAAGAAACGCAAGTTTTGAATCCTAGTCAGCATGTCAATGAGACACTCTGTAGAAAGATCTGTAGCTGTAACGTCAAGCTCTTGGATGGAAGACTTCTCCCACTCGACTTGCATTACATGTTCTGATTGGAGACCTGTAAAAGAAAAAAAAAATAATTTATTGTTGGAACAATATTATGATCATAAGTCAGAATATATCTCTGTATGGGGAGAACGGGGCTGAAAGTGCCGAGGGTAAGCTCAAAAACGGAAAGAGATAGCTATACGTTCATATTACGTCTGGAAATGCCGAGCAATCTGACGGTCTAGCGCACAGCGGCCAATTTCGTTGCGTTAGCAACGCGCACGGAACGGTAGTATGTGTAGGTGTAGTATGAGTCCTCCAGCGCCACGTGAGTAAATAATTTTGTGTTCATACTTTTTGGTCACACGTTGCCACTTATGGTACCACGAATATGGAAGTTATACTAATACATTTGTAATTTGTTCAATAATTTTAGTTTATACAATTTTAACGCTTAGTGTAGATTGTTTTTTGTCATGTGGGTAAAATGTTAACGTCGTCCAAACGGGTTAAAAAGGGCCTTTCATTCGGGGTCTATTGTGCCGCGGCACAACCAACCAACACAACCTTTATTAGCCTTTATTATTTTGTTTGACAGAATGAGAAACTACAGGTGAAAAACACGGAGGGGGAACTACTTCCCAGGACTTATTAATAATAAGGGGTGGCTGACGTGGTTATTAAGGACGGGTGCAAATTAAAAACCGTTGCGCGTGAATTGAAGATTTGTCACACAACGCTGCAACGCTACAAATAGTATTGTTAGCAATTACGCGGAGAAGATAAACTGTTTTATTTAGAAGATAGAATAGAATAGAATAGAATAGAATAGAATCGTTTATTTCATGTTATCAATGTCACAATATTACAATTGGAAATACAATGTCAAGGGATAACTATGATCGTCAGTAATAAAATTATAATAATAATAATGAATATAAAATAAAGTAGTATAACTACTGCTTGTCGAATAAAATAAAATTAAAATTGTTTCAAAAGAAACTCATCGACACTGTACAATTCAATATCCAATAAAAGGTTTTTTAGTCGGGTACAAAACGTTGCATCGTTTCTAACACTTTTCAGGTCTGTGGGTAGATGTTCGTAGAATCGGGGACCTATTACCCGCGGATTTCTAGTTGCAAGTTCGGTACGGTGGGCAACGGATTTTAGTGTTCCCGCGTTTCGTAACGCTCGGCCTCCGCCCGTACGTCGCTCATAAGTAGCCAAGTTTTGACGCGCATAAACTATTATATCATAAATATATTGTGAGTACATGGTCATTATATTGTATTTCTTAAAAAGGTTTCTGCAGGTCTGACCCTTTTTTATGCCTACTATTGTTCTTAGTGCACGTTTTTGAAGAATAAATACCCTAATCGACTCAGTTGAATTAGCCCACAGTGTGATGCCATAAGACATCAACGAATGAAAATACGCATAATACGTCTGCCTCAATACCACATTGGAGACAAGAGGACGCAGTTTCCTCAGTGCGTATGCAGCACTTCCAAGTTTTTGACATAGAGTTTGTATATGTGACTTCCAGTTCAAATTTGAGTCTAGCGTTAAACCCAAGAATTTACAGGTGTTACATAATGGAACAATGGAGGTGATAATTGGCTTTGTTATAGAATTTCTTCCAATACCTTTCGCAAAGGCGTTTTATTACTTTTTTAAACAATTTTTTGTAGAACCTTCCTGAAATAGTGAAAAAAAAGTATGTTTTTTGGTAGAAATTAGGTAGTAAATAGTTATATAAAAAAGTAAATTATATACTGCTAGAACCTTGAAAAACGTAAAGTAGTCCCGCCAAACTGACGTCAGAATGGCTGGCCATTTTATTTCTTTAATGTTTCTGTTAGCGCACAGGTAGAAAATATGTCAATAAAGGTTCTAAAATAGTAGAAAATAGGTAGTAAATAATGAGCACATTGGATTTGTATATCTCGTTTGGTCCAGCTATCCTGACGGACACTTTAAAAAGCTATTCAAAATGCACAAAAACTTCATATACATTTAAAATATAGATGAAATTTTAACCGTACCATTGGTTTCAACCGATTTATCTAAGGATTTGTCAAAATCGGCATTTTCAGCCCCGCTCTCCCCTAAATCTTCAGTGTCATAACACACATGCCTTAATTGTGCAAGTTCTCTGTAAGCACCCGTTTATTCTGATTCAGCATTCAAAGGTGCTTTGTGGAAGATCTATAAGAACAGTTGCATCTGCCCAGATAGGCTTATTTGAAAAGTAGGCTCTGCCTGTAAAGGTGAGGTGTTTAAAAAGTCACTTACTGCATCCGTTCATAAGCAGGCAGGTAAGTCTTCGTGAACGCTGGAACAGAGTTTTCATCGTAGAACCTGTTACTTTGTTGCAGTAGTTCACCGCTAGACATTCCAGCTGAAATAGTCAAACAGTTCTTATCACAACATAGTAAAGAATCGTGTAGTTACTTGGAGGTGCACAAAATCTTACATGTTCTATAAATAAAGAAATGATCGGACGAAAGAGGAATCTGACGGATGTGTACTAAATCGTAATAAGTCTGGTAGGTATATTTCTAAATAAAAAAAAACCATGTAAAAGAGACCATACTAAGTATTTAATAAGCTAGGATTGAAAGAAAAGCAACATTACCTGAATACAATTAGAGCTGAAAGCGTCAATGTGGGAGTCGTCAACGAAATTGATTCCATACAAATTGATTACTCTTAAGTTCGGCGTAGCTGATTTGAGTTTATGCACGTTGATTACTTCGTAGATCTCCTCTTCTTCTTCTTCAATCTTCTCGTATGTGCCTAAAAGAGTTTGCGTAAGGTCAAATCAAGACTCTTAGGCACCGTTTCATTAGCTAGGGACTGCGACGAATATAATACAATAAAAAAAAGAATACACATGAGTAATAAGTTAATACCACTACGTCCTAATAAAAAGATGTAATAAATAATTTAGGGCTAATCATAGATTCCCATATCTATGGGGTAAATCGTATTCATATTGAACAAACATCTTTTCGTCTATACTGCCGGAAATTTAAATTTTTAGGTTTACTACACAGTGTCACAACCATAGATATTTCTATATCTATGGTCACAACTGATCCAAGTTATAATGGTAAGTTCAAAGAATTTTGTATGTGTTAACCATTTCGAAAATATTAATGTCTTAACAAAAATGAGCAGGCCAAGTCGATTATTTAGCGCATCTCCCTAAGAAGTAGTAACGCATACCGTATGAGCACCGCGGAGTACCTACATATTGCCTAACATTCTAAATAAGACGCCAGTATAGCTACATGTAGATATGCTAATGAATGTTAGGAAACGCAAACAAGTATTAAAAAAGTATTACTTGGGTTGTAACAATATGTAACCAAAGCGATGCATTCTCCCTTCGCATAAAAAACCCTTTAAAGGGTACTAAAAAAAGTACACAATAAGACCCTGGAATGTGATTTTGGTACCTATACAATATGAAATGCGCTGCCGACTGTGATATTTACGATTTTACGGTATAAGATACGTTGATGCCATAGTAGCACCTACTGCTTGTTATAAGTAGGCTGTTGTTAGGCACCTATTACCATTTTTACTGATAGCCGCCAGACCTGATACCTACCAATTAAGTGCAAAATTTCAAGGCCATTGATAAAGTTGTAAATTTTGCGCATGAAGCCCTCCATGAAAATGACTTCCGAAAGACAGATGCACAAGTACTTTAGTTTGGTTGGGAACGCCTGCATCTCAGAGAAGTCGTGCAGTTGCATGGCTGGAAAAAAATTTCAGAATACAAATTTACAATCAAAAATCTAACTTTAAGTTACCTTCCTACTTGAATCATTGTAGGTAATGCCCAATAGTTATTGCATAGTCACATATAATGTACATATTACGGGGTTATTTGTAAAATACTAACAACCTCGCAGGACTATCCTTCTCTCGGAACGAAAAGTGGCACAACTGCTGTATAAAGTACGCATAGATGTGCCTTTTTTCATTACGAGGAGGGTAGTATTATTATTTAATACTAATATAAAACATAATATCTGACACTTTTTGGCTGGCTTGCCAAGCCCACATGTAAAATTGAAATTGAAATGTTTCGAAGTGGCCCCTTAGCAGTGTTAGGAACCCAATAATATTAAAGCTGAAGGAAATGTATAAAAAAGAATGTTAAAAATGTACCTCATTCGAAAGTGTTTTGATTCACTTCAGGAATATTTAAATAATTAATCATTGATTTACAATTATATGGACGTCGGGTCCGCGCTAAAAAGTGTCCGAACTCATAGGGCGTTAAAATCGTATACAGAGCGTCATTCACGCGTTAGTCTTCGTTTGTTCGACTGACAGCGAAGCAAGCAAAATTAGACAGTACTGCGATGACATTACAATTTAAATTCAACGTTTTAGCTTTTTCATATTCCTTTACATGTCACTACGTTTAAATAGGTTGATTTGGGACATTTTTTTCGTGGTTTTTGTATTAGACCCGTCGTCCATTTATTTGTAAGTCAATGTAATTAATGTAAAATTTTATTTGTGTCACGATTGTTATCCCTTTTTTCTTTAATTTTATTTCATGTTTATTTTTGGAGTTTTATTTCATCAATTTTCGTAATAATAGGCCTAATTAAATTTAATTTTATATTTTACGTGTGGCGCACTATAAGTTTCCGGAATGAATAAATGTATAAATGGTCAGAAGTGAATTTGTTTCTCAAGCTAGCGTTAACTTTTTCATACGAATGAACCAATTTTGAAAACATTTATGCCACTCCTCATTGACAATCTCTGAAACATATTTTTCTTACTCTTTAACAGCATCTTCAGGTGATGAAAATCGTTGACAGCATAATTGGTTCTTAATTTTTGGAAATAAATAAAAGTCACAAGGTGCCAGCCAGGTCGGGACTGTACACGGGATGGCTCATAAGGTCCACGTTGTTCACCTTCAAAAATTCATTTGTTGTCTAGCTGTGTGAGAAGTGGCATTATCGTGGTGCAAGATTATACGGCGTTTACGGTTATTTATACGGAGTTTATCAATATCTTTCGGCAAACAAATGGTCGTGTACCAATCACTATTCACGGTACAACGATTCTCCAAAGCAACACTAACCACGTGTCCAGTTTTATTTAAAAAAGAAGCAATCATCCGCTTATTGGCACTTTGCACGCGCGCCACTTTGGTTGGTTTCGGCTCAGCTTGAAAGACCCATACGCTCGATTGCTGCTTTGTTTTGGGATCGTAACTGTAAATTTATCTTTTGTCACCTATTACTATGTCCCACATAACTATGAAAGAGACTCAGTCTTTTAAGGCGTTTTATAACGACTCGACTCCATTTTACAGGACTCGACTCTAAAATTAGACTGGAGGTTCGAGTTTTTATTAATAAGACTCAGTCGTTATACTAAAAGACTTAAACGACTCGAGTGTTTGCAATGGACTTATACCTATTTTAGTCTTATTAAACCCTAAGTTTATAAATAAAAATGACATAGTATGTAGTAAATAATCACGTTTATTTACTTATAATAAAAATTTGGATTCAAAGAGTGATTTAAGCAATAGGTACGAGATTTTAAGACCTAATTATATAATGATTGCATATAATACTTTTTCTGCGACTAAATTAAAATAATGATATACAACCAATATTTAAAAGTCTATGGAAATCCAGCTAACGTGCTCTTTTTTTATTTGGTGTAATATTGGTCTACAACAGTTTTTCTTATTATGAAGTCCTGGTACTTTTTTAAACTTCTTTAGAAACCCGTGCACGTTAGTGAGATACAATTTATCTGTAATACATAGAACAAATATATACATAACAATCTCGCCTGTCACTCATTCAGGGGTAGGCAGATACTGTGGACCTCCACTTAATACGTTCATAAATAGCATGTTTCATTCATCACTATGGTCAAACGACAGTATCAGACACTAAAATTTGATAAAATATTTTGACTCTTGGGTTCTGTATCCATTCATTTTTATATTAAAGTAACAAATAATTCCCAAAAACAAATTCTTGAACTGGTTACGATTAACTGACTTCTGTGAACAAAGCTACGTTAACGTTATCCATCAAAATAAATCATAAAATAAATATCTTGTGGGTAGAAATAAAATCACGCCATACGGCTCATAAATCGGGACTCCCGAGGCTATAAGGTGCCAGTCGTTTTAGTACTTTTAGTCTTACAAGTATTTTAAGCTTCATAAGGTTAAAAGATTTCGACTCGAATTAGTCTTCAATTTTAGTCTTATGACTCAAGACTTGAGGGTTAAAAGACTAGACTAGTCGTGAGGCGTTAAAAATTAGTCGAGGTTTTTTAAAAGGCCTTAAAAGAGTGAAGTCTCTTTCATCACTAGTCCCACACCAAATTGACGCCCCTTCGTTGAATCTGGTAATCATGGCATTGCACTAAGTGACGCGATCAGTTTTTTCAGCCTCAGTCAATTTGTGTGGGATCCACCGAGAGAGCTCAGCTTTTTCACACCCAAATGTTTGTGTAATTGTATTTGACAAATGCCTATGCCTAAAGATGACCGAATCTCATGGTATGTCACATGCCTGTCTGTTTTAACCCTACGGCGCACAGCATCGATGTTTTTGTTGTCCACAGCAGTGGACGGGCGACCATCACGAAATTTGTCATTGAGATTCACACGACCGCGTTTGAATTTTGCAAACCAGCTATAAATAGTCGTCTTGCATGGTGTTTCATCGCCAAAAGCAGTTTGAAGCCGAGCAAAACTCCGCTGAGCTATTAAATTTAGCTAGCTTTCAAGCAATTAGTCCGCGATTCATATTAGAGTCTCAATCTACATCCCAATAGTCTGACATTGTTATATATAAATATGTATATTAAATATATATGTGTATGTATTATATATAATGTATTTATATGTATATAGGTTGCTTATATAAGTACAGTTAGTTATATAATATTATGTACTATATTTATATTGTGGTTAAACTATATATCATAATTATTTATAAACTTCTTCCTATCCGTTTTAATTATCAAGTTACGCACCCCTGTTAATTATTTTGAACCCAGCAGCTCTCCGGTTGACTGGTAGAGAATGCCTAATGGGATTAAGTCCGCCATTTGTACTGTTTTGTGTGCAATTAAGTTTAAATAAATAAATAAAATTAATTACACTTAAAGTAGAAAATCATACTACGAAAATTTCACAAGATAAATGCAAGGTGATGTAGACAACCAATTTCTAAAATGACGCCACAATGTAATAACAAGTGACAGTCAGGAGATAAAACAAACTGTATTCGACAGCCGAAGAGTTTCATTTTCAAATGTTGTAATTACTTTTTAAATATTGTTTATGTAAGTGGCCAGTTCCGGAAACTTATAGTGCGCTCTTTAATATGTTTAATTTGCCTTACAGTCAATTCGGGTAACTTTGAATCGTGGTGTAACTTTGAACGTAGTTGCTTAAAAGATTTAAAAATTGATTTTATGTGTGACAATCTTTTATTTTTAGTATTGAAACTGTGTAAATCGGAACAAAATTGTTAAACGAAAGTTATGAAAGAAAAAAGTAATGTTAAATTGTGTTTTTTTAAACTTTCGCGGGTTTTTCTTGGCGAAAGTAGTTTGGTGTGATTTGTTGCTCAGTTTTAGAATCGGAATTAAATATATAAATCTGAATATTGACTGGTAAGTTTTGGTTTCCACACTTAAGTAGAGGTTTATATAGGTATCGCTTTTTTAAAGAATAATTTAATTTGGTTTTGTACTTACGCGTAAAGCGAATTAGATTTTGACGACGTTACCAAACAGAGAAATTTGGGTAACTTTGAATGTGTTTGACTGTGTTTTTAGAGAAGAGGATAGTCTGTTTCCAGGGAGAGTTCTAAAAGTTACTCCTTTGGAAATTACTGTCTCAGTGCTCCAAAAATGCTTTTTAGGAGGTTGGTCTTGGCCCTGTAACGTTGAGACATGTCAAGTTAATAAAGCCGATATTGTGAATATTATAAAAGAGCAACAGCTATCTAGAAAAGGCGGCCGTATTTATATTGATGACGACATTTTATTCAATGAGTGGGGTGAATAGATTTTTGTTATGTATTTACTTTGCCTAAAATAATTGTTATAGGTGATTCATTTTGATCTCGTTTGATAGCTAAATAAGCGTAGAATTTATTATTAAACAGAAAATTTTCATTTTTATTCGCATTAATTAAAAAATCTAAAAAAAAAACCAAGTTTTTCATTTCAACTAAATTAGTTCGTCTCGTTTTATTATGGCAATACCAAGTCAAATGTCGTTTTTGAACGCACTGTCAGGAATATTTGGACAGATTCACATCTAAAACATTGACTTACAAATCAATATCTAAAAAATATGAATATGTCGTACAGATATAATCTTCCACAAACTGTAAAATATCTAGAAAATATACGGTTTCCATATCGAAGGCTAATCTTATTCAAAGTTACCCAAAATTCAAGGCAACTTTCAATGTGACTTTTGGAGCAAATCTAGAACAGTTTTGTTGAATAATTACTAAATTCCTTCTATAAGAACGAAAAAAGGGCTTAAAAGAACACTATTCAGTTAATAAAGTAATTGTTAAGAAACATAATTAAATTTGAAATTATTAGAAAAAAGCCCAAAAAATGTTCAAAGTTACCCGAATTGACTGTATTTTATTGTATTTAATTATTTTGTAATTCAATGTAATTTTTAATGTAGTATGGATCAATTTTATTTTTAATTTTTGCATGTACCTACGTAAATAAATTTAATTTATAAGATTGCAGGGTGCAAACATACTACTTTATGAACCAAAGTTCATAACAACATTTTAACAACTACAAATGTACAACATAATACGCAATAAAGAATTTTAATTTAAAATGTTTGATCTGTATTTGGCAGGTATTATTAGTAAGTTGTTTAGCAACGCCACCCGCGTATCATTCATAATAATATTTTTGATGCTGAGTGCTTTCCTTTCCTACCGTACAGGTACAGAGTTATCAACGTTTAGAGCGATGATCTATTTAAATATTGTTATTTTAGAATGAAAGTTAAGTGCAATGAATTGTTATTCAAAGTCATGGAACGAAAGTTTTTGTATATGATGTTAGTAGTACTCCTGCTGCGAGGTTGTATTTTACAAATAACCCTGTATATTTTTGTAAAATGTTAACACCGCTATTAGTTCACTTTTAAACCATGTTTAGGCTGATGGCTTAGCCAAATCCTCAATAAATTTAAAAAAATCACTATTAAACGTTAAAGTAAAGGCCTATGCCTTTACAAGAAAGCTAGGTTTCATTTTGCTATTGTTTTGTTCTTATAAAGCAGGGCTACGTGGCACGGCATACCTATATTACTATCTAATATAGCATAACATAAAGAAAGACGCTGTTGTCAAACTTCGGGGATTTCGGGATGATTTACACTTACCGGTACTAAAATCTAACAGCATGTGGGTCAAATTAGGGCATTTAGCTGCTAATTCGTGGAGGACAGTGTGCGTTATCAACTCAATCGGTAGCTCAATATAGCGCAGCGACGGGCCGAATCTTATTGAAATTAGCGCCAGAAGTGATTCCAAGGACCCTAAAACAGAAGTGTAACGATAGTTTCATTTTGTTTTGATGCCTTATTTTCCCTCCAATATCTAATTAAAACGAAGTAAGATTGAATGAACAAAGAACAATAATATCGAGTCGTATTCTAGAACTCTACTCATTGCTCAAGTCATGACATGAGTATGATTTAAAGCACTTGAAATCATACTCAAGTCCCTTCCATTAGGGTCGTATTTCCAGTCAACTCAAGTCAGGATCTGAGTATGATTTCAAGCACTGGAAATACGACCCTAATGGAAGGGACTTGAGTATGATTTCGAGTGCTTTAAACCATACTCACATCCTGACTTGAGCATTGAGTAGAGTTCTGGAATACGGCCCTTAGTTATAATTACTGATAACAGACAACGATAGCATAAAGGGTAAAAAATAATACCAGCTCAGAAAAATTTTCCGGAATTTCGCAGTAAATTATTTTTCTATATTTATTACTTTATTGTGTTTGAAAAATATAAGAAGATATATATATATAAATTACTGCTATTCCAACTTGAAACTACGTACCAACATGCAATCCCGAAATTTCTGGTCTCAAACTGACATGCGTCCACAATTTTGTATCGTAAGCGACCATACGCCATCTTTTACATACCATAGCCATACGACATATTTCTCGATGTGACAAGTACGAGAAAATATTCAATAGCACTTTGTCAGGTAACTTTTCTATAGTCTGTAACAAGAGAAATATTTCATGTCACAATGAAATCGAGAATCGAGATCACTAGTCTCAAGGCTAAGGTTAAAATATTCTTCTTATTTATTTTAATATGGCTTAGTTTGCAAATTTTTATGTAAAAAAAGGTTAAAACAAGCAGCCAACCCCATATGACCCGAATACTAGGCATCATAGTAAATAGTTAACAAATGCAAGTACTGTTGTTGGCAGTAAATTCTAAACGCAAGCTTGACTTTAGACTGATTATATTAAGGATATTATCGACCCCATATTATAATGTACAACAAAAATGGTAGTTTGTTAAATTACCGTGCTAGCGAATGGGCTTCGAATTTGCCCTCCTTCAGTCAAATACACCTGACTGGCCTCCAAAGCCAGCTGGCCCCACACGTCAGTTGATAAATCCATGATGAGTACAGTTTAATCACCACATATACACAAATAAAATCCTAAAATGGCTTTTTATTGAAACCAAACTTTCGTAGGTTTACTTCATACGAGCGGAAAGTACACGATCGTTGGACATGGAACGCTGTGGTTAATTTTGGAATCATCCGGGCGCCTGATAGAACGTAATGCGAAGGAATATTTTAAGAATTTGTCGAATACACACTTTTTAATTTTAAAGTTGCATTTACATCAACAATTTTAAGTCTTTAATTGAAAATCATGTAAATTTTCAGAACATGGAGTGCAGTTAACTGCTACTAATACGTTGTGATATTTTTAGAAAAAAATAGTATTATTTGGATACTGGCGGGAAAATTTAAACTTTCGTTTGTGTATTCCGTCTTACTATGCTACTTTCATTTTGAGTAAATAACATTTATATCGCCAATATAATGGATTGGTTACAGTTAATGAACAAGTCTCTCTTATAAAAGAAGTAATAAATAGTTTATGAATGATGTTATTACAAGCTCGATCATAGAGTTCAGTTCAAGAGCGTACTCATAATAACATGATTTATCTACTACAATACAGGAATAACTGAAAATTTCTATAAGGGTTTTACCCGCGTGTCATATAGGTACGGAATTAATAAAAAAAACTAATTGGTTAAGTTGTTTGTTCTCATGAGCTACTACTACATGATCTACTAGCATCAATTGAAGTATAGTTGAATAATCCAATATTTATATTATACTTTGTAAAGACAACACAACACAGTTCTTCCCTGCTTAAAAAAAGAGTCAATTCTGCTTAGATTTACCGTTATTCTTTCTTTCAATTTATATTAATTAATCTTTATTTTAGGTGTGCAGCGTAGGTATAACATCGACCGTAGCAAAACCTGGCAATAAGAGAGGTATTTTCTGACAGACGTGATTCATCATAGCAAATTAAATAAATCCACATTGTTAGGATTACAGCTTTTGTCTAGAGTAGTCTATTACGTATTCATGTATTTGAATGAGTGTAAGTTTATTATTAAAAATAAATGTAGCTTTGTCTGTATACAACGACCTTATAGGTTTGTTTTTACATGGCAATTTTTGCTAAGTTATTCATGAGTGTTAACAACCATCTAGGAATATTATTGCACTAGGTATAAATGCACCAGTACCGTTCCGGGCAGTTGTGCTAACGACTTTTGGTCAGTTTACATAATGACATTGTAAACTAAGAGTGGCCCCTTATATTAATAGTTTTAATTTACAGGAGCCATATATTATTTTAAGACATCTTATTTATAAAAATCACACGCTTTGCGTAATAGGACCATATCTGCAAAATGACAACTTTTCAGGACAGAGATTTAAAGATTCTTCGAACAAAATTAATGATAACTTGTTATGTTTAAATTGGGACGTAGTAAAATTTCACATATACATAATTTGTTTCATGTACTTCGGATTATTTTAATGACTTTCATGTGATAAAAGCACTTTCGACGTCTTGTCACATGCGGCTTTATTATACCAAGGATACGAAATGTTAACTACACGTAAAAGTAATCAATGATGTTGTAATTATCTAATCTAATTCTTTGAGTGATGAAAATAATATGAGAGTTATATGACTCTATATACACCACCATACTATTTACACCATATCACGCATACCACTCGTTTTAAACATCTTACTCTATTATTGATCAGGGCTGCTTCATATCACAAAATGTCACACTGTAGGTGTTTATTTCAGGAAATTTTTGAACTGAGCGTCAAAATACTATCCGTATGTACTTCCGAAATGATAGTCAGATAATTTAACATAGTAAAATCTAATTATAACAATACCACATTAAATAAAAATTCTACAAGAGTCTACAGTATTCATAATGTTCAAAAGTAAACCGCGATACCAATAGACGCCTGTCGTATTGAAGTGATTGGTTAAAAACTACAATAGCAAGTCTTTCTGGTTGATGCTTTGCAAAGATCCTAAGGCTCTGCAACTGGCATTTAATATTATATATATAAATACCTAAATAAAACATACGAAAAAAGGTAATACACATATATGATAATAAAACAATACGTAAGTATATTTAGAATAAAAAAAATAGCTTTAATAAATATATAAAAACACATACTTAAGTACTTTAATAGAGTAAACAAAGTTACGAAAAAATATGTAAACCTATAAAATAAAGGTAATCAATAATTACATCTATGTATACACTTATATTTTTCTTTATTTACTACTCTAATTCTTCGCAACAAAATTATGAACTCTACTAGCAATGGTAAACAATTTTATATTTCGCATTTTTTATAGATGCTTCAGCTGTGACACCCAGGTGGTTGCAAAAGGAAGAACATGTCAGCAACATATTTTATGCACATTTATGTACCGAGGAAAGACCTAAGTATAGACCAGTTGTACTGATACGTAATCGCAATGCACCGAAAAATGTCTACAATGTGTTTGATTTATGAACCGCGTTTGTCTGCACGTGTGCTTCTGTAAACGAACACAATTCATTTAGATTTTCAAATGAAAGTCACATACGAATAGGTATGCATACTGCTAGGCATTTAAGTGACACAATTCATTTCATAATATACGAATAATGTATAACAAAAATAAGAGAACTCGCCTTAGATTGGCAGTTTAATGATAGATTGTGTAATCTTTTCTTACTTTACCTATATATACATATACTTAAACAAATAAACAAGTGTCTAAATAGGTACAATGTAATAATTTATCCCAAGTTTCTGAAAATTATGTTAATAGCAATATTTGAAACAAAATTTTAACATAAATTTTCTTACAGTTTCTAATGAACTTCATCATTTGTTAATTACCGCACTAAGTACTTTGGCCCCCGTTTGTTTTATTTTTATACAATAGCTTGTCTCACAGTACCTAACACTATTTCATTGACCTCATTTATTACTTTATGGAAAAGCTTTTTGTCTCAAGATCTATAATATTACGATTATTAATGAATACCAAATATTAATATACTAAAAATACTATTTACCAGCTGTTTCCTCCGAAAACTCGACGATTGCATATCATCTCTGTTGATGGCAAGAGAGTCTACATTCAATATTCCCCACGAATCCATTTGGGCCACAAATTATTACTTTTTTACACCTAAATATGAGTTTGTAATTGAGTTCTTTTCACTGTTTAATTTTAAAACGATTCACTAAACATTTGGCGCGAAGTTGTCTTGTAAATTTTTACGTCTCTAACCGCACGAGACTTCCGTCAAGTCTGGCTGTCTGCCTTTTAATCTAACGAATACTAATGTGAATCGAGCTGTTCGCTTCTTAAAGTTAAATTGTGTCTAATGTATAAGATGTGTACCTATATGCTCACTGATATTTAAATTGGCAAGCCAAAATAAGTGCGACATTTCGCTTCAACTGGGCTGAGAGAGCGGCTGCCAACTAGAATCGTATTGCATGTGTGTCACAGTCACAGCGCATCGGATGCTCTGCTGATATCAGAAACAACATTTTTATCTCTTTGCTTTTGAAGTTAATACTTAAATACTTGTATTTTGACGTATATAACAGAATTACTTTATGAAAGGACCTACTAGTACCTTATAATTATCATCATTACAGCTACATCCAACACTTTTTTTAAAATGATGCATGATTTTCACAATATGTGCATATATTTCAATAACATACTTTATAAGTGCGTACATAGGTACGTTACATACATATCTGGCAAAAGTGAGTAATTTGTTATCGAGTAAATATTTTTCACTTTTAATCATAATCTATAATAAGTCTAATAAAAAAACATTGAAATAATGCCCCTTAAACTAAATTGTTTCCGGAGCTATTGTTCTTCCACTAATAGCTTAGTGGAAGAACAATAGCTCCGCTACTAGTCGCATAATTATTTACTAATATAATAAATAAAAAAAATATATAAGATGTATTTCCTATACCTATAAATAAACACAAAAATCTCATAAATAAATATTTTTTACTTTTAATCATAATCTACAATAAGTTTAATAAAAAACATTGAAATAATTCCCCTTAAACTAAATTATTTCTTCCTTGAACTTATTGTGTATAACTAAAATATAAACATATTACCGAGCATCCCAATAACTAACTAGCTACTCTGTGTAGCACCGTGCATTTGATATTTCGTATGTAGGTACATACGTCTCCGTACGTAACTTGGGTATATATGTAAAACATTTTTTATATATGTCAACTTTAATAAAGTAATTACCGTAAATAACAATATGAATTAGGTAGATATATTTAATTCACAAACCAACAGAAAAGGAAATTATTTGATCAAACGCTGGCAACACTTACCATAAAATCATTCAATCATAACATTCATTAGCTATCATTCGTTCAGAGTCAGAAGGAGATTTCGTTCCTTTCCGGGTTCATTTCAAATCTCACCTCTCACCAATGACAAAAACGCCTCTCACTCATTCATTGTTTTGCTTTTGGTCGTTTGAACGCGCTTCGATGCTTGTTTAAACTTTATTCATTTTAATTGCGTAAATACACAAAATCGTGAAGTAAAAAATGAAAAAGTGCTACCGTCTAGTTCCATTAATCATTTTCATTTCAAGTGTGGAGTGATGATAAGCGCTTCAATTGACAGATACTCATGTTGTGCTGATAATTTCGTCTGAACTGCATTAATATCACGGAAATAATACGACATCTCAGTGCTGATTATTGAATTAGTTCGCTGCGCGGGATGCTCCATAGCAGTCGAATTATAAATTTCGTGGAAATGGGCCGGGTAGTACCGCTACGTTAAAACAACTGCACTAAAATAAAAAGACTGAGTGTAAGTAATAGTTCGTGATTCTAATTTTAAAAACACGAAAATAAATTTGTTGAGAATGGAGACCGTGGGAAGTTCAGTTTTGGCGGGATATTTTCCGGATTATTTAGTAAATTTTATGGACGAATTGGATGAGCATCCTTGGTTGTTTGCCGCTCTAGCATCAGTACTTGTCGGCCTCAGCGGTATTCTGCCGCTTCTCATCATTCCGATCGACGAAACAGCTACCTTCAAAGACGGATGTGAGTATCAATTTTGGCATTTGTTTTTGCTTGTAATATTACAACGTGGTTAGAATAAACAATTTGACTAGTACTGTTTTATTTTTTTAATTAATTGAAACTTGAATTGGAGTCTAATTGGATGGCCACGAATTTTTTCATAAAACGAATATTGCTCATTGCTGCTTGTTTTTTGAACAACCATAATAAATTATTATAGATAATATAAATAAAAGGTATACCTAATTAGTCAATCTGTTACTGTTTTCTATTTCTACATAATTATGTAAACCACTTGAAGTCACCTTTATAGTGTTTTGCTTTATTAAATTCGGACTTTATATTTATTTATATCATAGCTACAGAATACAAACTATGAAATTGCATAAAAATTAACATGTAATAGGTCTATCAAATAAAATATACAAAAACAAAATAGTACACATACATATCAATGCCTGAAAGGCAAAATGGGACAAGTGGCACTTTTGGTCATATTGAGTTATATATACCGTTGGAATCAGCTAATGTTTCTGATTTCAATGGTATATATTACTCAATATGACCCTAAAGTGTCACTTATCCTATTTTGCCTTTCAAGTGTCGATATCAACAATAACATTTTTAAGTATTTTAAGATATTCAGCTTGTCTTTACAAATATTGAAATAGGTATATTAGCGATTATATTAGTTTCAACTGTTTTGAATATTTTTAAACCACTAATATGATGTTCCTAGTATGGATTCTTTTGTCAAAATTGTGTACTTATGTATGAACAATAAACATTGCTTTCTTTGTTATATGAAAAATCATTCCTGTATATTAACCAAAAAAATTTTGGTGTTTGTAACAGAATTCCAAAGTAAATTGGATACCAATCAATCAATACTTCATTAATTTTTTTCATCTAAAAGCTGTAATGTATGAACCCACATCATTTTCGTCAAAGGCCAGGTGGCTATCTACCTCAGTAAGTTGATATTCAGCCATAGTAATACTATACATTAATATGGACCCACATACATTAAGGCGCTTTAGACCTTGATGAAACATAACAGCACATTACTATAACTAAAACTTACTTCCAGTAAGTGCTTACAAAGACTATGCCACACATTGGTTACAAACACTAAGCCACACATCAGTATTCACAACAATGACTTTCTCACGGAATTGAGGCAATCAAGTTGCAACCCAACTGTGCCTGCTTGTGGCACGTCGGCTACAGTAAATATTATAGATCTTTGAAAACAGGAAATTTGGAAAGAACATTGCTAGGTTTGTTCATTGTTTTCTTAATACAGGTTACACTGTCTCATGTTTAAAAATTAATGGAATTGCATAATTAATGGCAAGTACGCAGAGATTTAGTGATAAAACTGTTTAAAGTTTTTTTTTGTATTTTGCATCGTTCTTCTTTACATGCTGTATAAATTTGGCATTGGATTAGTAAAATTTTTTAATTACATTACAACAATATCATCTGGGCGTTGCTGAAACAACTTCTGATGGTGCAGCAAGACTTAACAGTTTATTGTACTGGCAATAATCATATCATATATTTAGTGAAAAGTCTCATCTTTAATATAAATCTAACTAATGTAAATTTCGCAATTCGCCAGTACTATGTGTTTAGTAGTTATCTATCACATGTTATTTCACACAACTTTGATGAGTACTACACTATCTGTACAACAAATGTACTAAGTCTGTTGTTATAACAACACATACCTAATCTAGTGTAACTATAGTTACACTAGATTTTTTTATTATTATTTTGCACAACACCGTACATTTACAGTAATTAACTAAACATAAACATAAGTAAACACGTAAATCATTTGTCATAAAAAGGTTGAGTCGAGTATAGCTATGCAACTGGGATTTATATAAGGTCACATATTTAAATTCATAACATTTTCTTCTAGCCATCACAAGAAAAGCTTTTACTACATAGTTCCTTAAATAACCTCCGCAAATGCGAAAAAATCTGGTTTCTATGACCGTAGAGGGTATATATATAGGGTATAGGGTATAGGGTTTAAAAAAATGTCAATTATATTTAAAGTATTTTATCTGCAAACCTGGTAAGACTACGCTTAAAGTCGAGTGTCATATTTAATTTCGACAAGCACTATTTCGACCCTACAGTACAAAATATTAAATATAAATATTTGCTGTACTGAGAGACTACTTAAGGAGCACTTCATTCTTGAGCGGAATATCTCGTATACATAAATATTTCTGAGAAATAATTAATAAGCAGAATAAGGTCACTATTCTGATGGAATAGTGACCTGTCAAATACATGTGTTGTCGAAGTAGTTTTCTGTCGGTGTAGTGACTTATCGGATGTTTGTCGTCGAAGCAGCGATCTGTCGGACAAGTGACCTGCCGAACATGTGTTTTGTGGAAGTAGTGTTCCATCGAATTAATGTGTTGTCGAAGTACTGTCGAGTCGAAATTAAATATGACACTCCTTAGAGTAAAATAAAAATCTGCGAATTGTTAGATTTTTCAAAATTACCAGTAAATGTTGTGTTGCAAATTCATATTCCCTAAGTTATTGTCTTAATTTGAAAACAAATGATGAATACTTTTTAATTATTCCAAATAAGGGTGCAACAAATTGTTTTCATAATTATAAAATTAAACAAATTTTTTTCGATGCATTTTTACACATAAGTAAAGTCAGTTATTTACAGGGATTTGTTTCATTTATGTGAAAAGTATGCAAAACTCTTACAGGTTGCAAGCTAACCCCGGTTTGTTTAGACTTTATTGACAAATAGTTAGCGATTGTCTTGTAGGTTGGGAAAATGTTGCCAATGATTGGGCAATCTATGTCGCCGCGACGGATTTCACTTCTCTTGTCAATTTCACAGTTCAAGTTCGTCGTTTCTTGGCTATAAAACTTAGACTATTGAAACTAAAGGACATGTTATGTTGACATATATAATCCGACGTTATACGTATGTGATGCATTTCGACATTGAAAACGTAAACATGTTATTGTCTTTGTTTAACTCTTGCGTGCCGTATTAAGCCAAAAGAGATAGCATTATATTGGTCCGTGTCAAACACGGGAATCGAAAATACGTAACGTCATCTTAAATGCCAACTGTGTCCATTTCGCAGTACATGAGGTACATGATACGGTTGTCAAAGGAAGTACATCAAATGTCAAAACAAATGTTTTTCCAAGTGTTTTATTGAATTATTCGCATGTATTGTAATAAAATGGACAAAAATATTGACAGTGAGAACAATTAAGTATTAATAAAAATTCGTCGCTGCAGCATTACGGGATGTGGCATTTGAAAAAGCGAAGATCGACCGAATGTAACATTGTACTGCCACGTGTTATTTTTCTGTCTATAGTAGTTATTATCACCCTGCGGTTTGAAATCACAATTACGTTCTATTTCCTGAGTAAATACGTTGAAGTATGAGAGTGATATATGATAAGGCATGATAGTAATAATAAAAAAATAACATATAAAATCGTTTATTTCCATTCTATTTAGAAGTGTTTGAATGGAGTTGATTAGCTTCGTTTAAAATGCTTCAGGCGTATATAGAGTATGTTTCTAAATCCTTGAGCTGTTGAATAGATTTTACTACAGACTTTGGAACGCTATTTCTACAGTAGAGAAATGTATTTCTAAAGTAGCTCTTAGGCCGTTATGAGAATTCTCATAACAGTAAGTCGTGTCATCTCAATAAGACGAGACAAACACTCCTGATACAGTCAAAAGCATAAAAAATCCGTTCCTTATTTTACTGAGTAGCCATATCAATATCAATAGTCTACTTTAAAACCTTGTGATCTTTAAAGAAGATACTAACTGCTCGTGTACTTCTAAAAACCTATAATAGCGCGCCAATACCATAATTGTAAAACCGAAAGGTCTACAAACTAGCGGCTTAAATCGGTAGAACGGTGTTAGTAAACTTTGAAGGCTGTTGTAATCGAGACGTCACTACAGTTTTTCCAACTTAACGTTTTAATCCAACATTATGCTTCTTCCGGATCCGGAGTGTTCAATACGCAAGTACTCTTCTGTTAATCCAGAGAGCATTACTACTGCAATAAGCTCATCTTCCATGGGGTTTCCTGCAGCCGATAGTTTTTGTCGAGTATCACGAATGTAATTTATGTATATATGACTATGCGATGCTCAGATATGATTCGAGTTTACCATTAAACAGTCTCTTTAATAAGGGTAGACGTCTGCTGAGGCTGCTGTCAGCGTATTCTTTTTCGAATGCTTTCAAAGTTTGCTCAGCCGTGTCGCAGCTTACTATGATTGGATAGACGTTTTCACAAATACTATAGACATATTTTTGATTTCGCACGTTCTCGTTACGGTGAAATTCTTCTGGGTTCTTCTTTTTCTCACTAACCTTTAGCGGCTGCGCGATGGAGTCCCAGAGATCTGCGTCAATCAACAACATTTTTATTGCAAAGCCCCAGCTGTCGTTGTTGCTTCTTCCTATTAATTTGGCAAATGACTGGGAAGATGTTATCGTCGCACATGGCGTAACTGTAGATACCGCGGTCACTAAAGGGATAGAGGACGGATTTTCCATTTTATAAACTGATGCCCATAACCTCTTGTAGTTGTGTACAAAAGAAAAAAACGTATGAGTCCACATGTATTAGACAAGATGTAAAATCAATAGACGTAACAATTGCATACAGAATAAAATCTTCCTGTTGTATAGTATCGATGGCAAACACTATAATGCTTGCCAACGTGGTGAAAGGATGTGTCAATCGGCGTTTTGTACTCGCTGATTGCTGTCCAGGGTGCGCCAGACGTACAAGAAACAAATGATCGTGTCGTGCGGAGAAGCTCCTGTGGTTTTCACCTGTTCTCCCAAACTGTGATAGAACCGTTTCATACAAACACTTTTAGTAATTTGGTAACGCAGCGCAAAAACTATCTTACGCCATGCAACTAATATGACTAGCTAAAATGCCGAATTGATTCGCTAGCGTGGTGCTAAATCACGCATGTGAAACGGTCCTTACTGTTTTAGTGTTTTAGCGAATTCTAAAATTTATGCACAAATTCAAGATCCAGAGCAAAATGGTATTGTATTATTATTTATTCAGCTCAAATCATGAACAGTAAACGTATTATTTTTGCTGCAGAAAAACAAGACTAATTAGAATTAGTTACAGTAACTAATTTAGTAGCAGTAGAGCTCCTTGTGAAAGAGTTCGTCTAGGGAAGTTCTGCCACCTTAACTATTTCTGCCGCCAAGCAGTAATGTCAGCATTACTGTGTTCCGGTTTTGAAGAGTAAGGGTGCTGGTGAAATTATAGGCACATGGGACTTGTCAACGTGTCTCAGGGTGCCCCTCAGATCTTTGCGATTTAAAGCTCTGAGTGGCACTGCAACTGCTATGGACAGGCGTGTAGCTTACCATCACCAGCACGACTTGTTCGTCCCGTCACTTGATACTATAAAAAAAATATTTTTGCTTTAACAAATACTTGCTAATCTCGCTCTAAAAAGGACTAGGTTGAACAAAACCACTAGAACATTTTCGATTTTTTTATTTTTTTTCGTTTATTCTATGTATTAACACGACACATTTTTCGTAATTGAAATCAGCGTTAGGTACTGAATTGAAAATGGAGTGGAGTCCTTCGCATTTAGTACTGTTTGACTTATAGTAGGTAAGTAAATTTATTGTTCCCACTCATCGTCAAATTACGGTAAATTTTAACTAATACATAGTTCTAACAATGTGGTTCAACGATTTTGCAGTAATTTTTTACGCTTATTACTCATTAATTACCAATATACAATATACCAATTTTGTGGTAGTTTCCAGAGTTAGGTTTTCACTTGCGTTGAATCTTTTTACCATTCCAGATTTAAAACTAGACTTAGTCACAAGAATCGAGATATTTGACTTGTGATTCTTATTCACAACAGTGAATGCATGAGGAATGCGGTAAAGGCATTGACTTACCAACAAATGGACGTCGGGTCTAATACAAAAACCACAAAAAAAATGTCCGAAGTTAATCTATACGTTTGTGTAGGTTAACTTCCGACATGTAACGAAATATAAAAAAAGCAAAATATTTAATTTGAATTGTAACGTCATTGCAGTACTGCCTAATTTGCTTGCAACAATTGAAAAGGCCCAAAAACACCATATTCAGCTTCTACTGGAAGCTTAACAAAATGCACCATATTTAGCTTCGACTGAAAATTACTTGAACACAAGAGCAATGGAGCAGCCTTTATTGTAAATATTAATTAATTTTTATGTTCATTATTATGTCGAATTTTGTACAAATTCACTTCAAGAAATAATAAAGAGTTGGGCAGATACATTCATACAAATATTACAAATGTGAAAACAAGCGTATACTATAAGAAATGTACCGTATTCTAGCTAAACGTAATCTCAAATATCCGTAATTCCGAAAAACCGATTTATAATAAAACCGTTACGCTTTCAATTAATTTTGATGCTTCTCACAAAGCCAAAATTAGCTTTTGTTTTGTAATATTCCTAAAAAAATACATTTGACATTTTGAAAATTCGAGCTAACGTTATTTTGGGCAAATGTATTTTCTGATATGTAATCCCAAGCAACAATATTTTGTTAGTTATTAATAAATAGTTATTATAAAAATAAGATTAAAATCAACGCGATTATATGGTTTCTTTGTTCCAATTATTTCAATCGCTTAAAGTTCGAACAATTGAAAATGATCAAGAAGTTAATATGAACTTCTTGAAATTAACGTATTGGGACTCTTTCCATATTTTGCGCATGCAATGTGTAGAAAAAGGACAGTTAGCTATTTGATTTTTTTTGTTTTGCTTTGTGATTTATATTTTCGATTAATTTATATATAAATTAAATACTATACAACTGTAGAAAATAACTTTTAAGTGATAACTGTGATAACACATTTGTTTAGTAAAAATATGATACAAAATCCTGTTTTTACACTTTACTGCAGTAACTTTTACAAGTTATTGTTATTATAGTACTGCATGATTGACAACCGCGCTGTCATTCGAACAAACGAAGACTTTGCGCGATTGACACTCTGTAGCGCGAACCCGACGTCCATTTGTTAGTAGGTCAGTGGGTAAAGGCGAAAAAGAATTGCGAGTTGCCTTGCGTTTTTTGCAGAAAGAAATGAAGAGAAATGCAATGATTATGCGTGATTCTACTTATCGGCGTATTTCGGATAGTTCATAGTCACATTTGGCAAGAATAACAAAGTATTGTCTACTGCTTGTGACTTTCCTTGTCTAAAGAGGGCGGAAAATTCTCTTAGGGATCAAGAAATTTCAATCGGGGTTTGATGTCTGCAAGTTTGAACTTAGAATCACGGAATAGAAAAATATAAAAAAGTTCTTAACAGTACTATGGAACGCATGAACCGCATCAAGCCAACCTCCACCTCAGCCACATTCAACACACATCAACTATCACCATATCCACATTAACAAGTTATACCCGAAGAAAGTTTAAGCCACTAAAAAGCCAAAACAATAAGGACTCCACACACAATGTTTAGGGTTGCAGTTACAGGCGCCACAGCACAAACCATTCGGATTATGAAACCCTAAACATTTCGACATCTGTTTGCTGTTTAAATTTCCTATTTTAAGTTCATTTAATAGTTTTTTTAGAAATTCTACACATTTATACAAAATGTATAAAATTTCATGATGAATATAGGATTAAATTTCAAGTTAATTTGGGGCGAAGAATAAGACTTCATGGGCAAGGGCAAGGGCAAGGACATTTGGCGCAGGCGCCAACAGGGCAGCAGCAACCTGAGACGTGGTAAGGTCCACAGAACCAAAAGCCGTAAGGGTAATAATAGTAGCCGGTCATATATTGAATGCATTTTGGAGGAGTGTTGCAAGGCGGAGGCAGACAGCAGCAACCGCAACTGTTGCCGCAAGGGCCGCAAGGGAAAGGACAGGGACACTTGCATGCGAGCGCTATGCCAAGCTCTGCCCTTGGCTTGTCAGAATGACTCGCGGGAGAAACTGATGTACTGGCTTCGTCACCAACTGGCTCAGTTCTGCAGGGACTGTAGTGCCGAAATAGCGTGTGAACTTTAGCATGTGGTATGAGGTTGGGGCACGACCTGCTGTAACGCAACGATGTCTTCTGCTGGCAGTCGCGGTGCCTGACAGACAGCAGCCGTTTCACTTCTCCAGTTTTCATGTATCTCTTCGGAATGGCCATCGCCATGGGTCGATGGGAAATGGCCATGGCTGCAAGAATTATATGAAGCTATTAATTTTCTTCCAAATCAATTATGGATGCGATCCTAAAATAGTTCGCTATGTTGGAGAACTTCAAAAAATTCATCACGACAAACGTGTTTGTAAAATTGTTGTACAGTCCGTGCCTCAAAATATCCCTGACCCCTTAAACGATATTTTGGTTCCGAGTACAAAAATGTGGAGAACTGTAATATTTTTTTACTATGATTTCCTGATGCTTCCTGGTTGCATCTTTAGTGGATAGTTAAAGTTTTTAAGTAATTCGATCTTTGAACATACACGTTCTTAAATACAGAATACAAATACAAGTTGCAATATCAAGACACGATGGTCTAGAGGTTCAAAGACTGCTTTGCAAATAAACGCAGATTATGGTTCGACTTGAATTTTATTCGAGTCATAGTACAGAACTGTTTTATATTTTTCTGTTCAATGCGTAAGATGGTTCTCAGAACTAAAATGTCGGTAAAGGGGTGGGGTAGGTAACAGTATAATCTTTTTGGACTCGTGTGCATTACATCAATGCGTTTTTTATTCTGCATTACATTGCTGATACTAGAACGTCACATACATTGCTTTGATTCCAAAGTAACTAAAGTACTTGCGTATGTAAATCGGAAACTACGACGGTACCACAAACACCCAAAACCGCGACAATATAGAACCAACCAAGGATCGGACCCGAGACCTTAGAGATGGAGAAACCATGAAAACCTGTTTGCAAGCTACGCGACCAGAGGTCGTAATCACGACCATAGGTAATCATAATCATCTGGGCTTGCGCGACGTTAGGTGGAAACGGAGAAATATCATAGTACTTACGCAGCAGGACAGGCTTTCTTTTTTGCATCATGGTAGTGATGGAGCGATTTTTAAAATATTTTAAGGAAAATATATTTCTTGGTAAAATAGCGTTCCTCAGAACTAAAGCCATGTTGACAAAGCTTAAGTTTTTAATTTAAACGTAATTTTTTTATTTTTTGTTATAGATGGTAGTGGTTGATGATGGGTGTTTCAGTAGACTACAATGAATAGAGAAAATAGAGTGCATACTTTGTCTTTGTTAAAAATAATACATGTGCAGCCATCTGCACGCGGTTAACTGTCTAAAAATCAAAGTATCATGTGACAACTCGTCCTGCTTGCTGAATGTTAGCTCGAAAATACATACATACAAATTTACAACGTTGCAACGCGTTGTCTCAAAAATGACCGTTATGTGTCGCGTACACAAATACCAAACGAAGACAATTACTACAGCATGTCGGTCATACTCTGTATACTTAGCCTTCACTGGGTAAGGGGGCTGGTGAAATTACAGGCTTGTAACTTCTATCTAAGGGTGTCGGGCGTCACTACGCCCGATCTGACGACACAATCACTGATTGTGTCAAATCTTTGTGATTTAAAGCTCTGACCGGCACTGCAACTGTTAGGGACAGGCGTATACCACCGCCTAGTGTCTGTACACACGTCTTGTTCGTCTCTTCACTTAGGAAAACTTTGTAGAGAAATATCTCGGCCACTCTCCAAGCAGTAGACAAGATGTTAATCATGGTTATTCTCCTATAACTGTATACGGAGAAATGAAGGAACGGAGAATTAATAAGAAATATAATTATAGCAATTTTACATATACTAAATAAATTATAGCAAACCTTGAACACCGCCATAAAGTTGCCTGATTATCAAATATTATAGGATATATGTCACGGAGAGTGTGCGACGGAATTTCATGAAATCATTCCGAAAACCCCTTTCTATCATCGGAGGACTAGACGTAGGCGAAGGGTCCTCCCCTATGCTGTAGATTATATCCAAGATTCGCACGAAGCGTTACGCTTCCCCATTTATATGGCGTATGGCATTGGAGTGGAATTCCCTGGCTGCAGAATTGCTCCATAAACGCTGTAACTTGACCTTTTTCTAGGCAAGAGTGAATAGGCATTATATAGGTGTGCATGGTTCATTGTCGACCTCATCGTCACTTTCCATTAGATGAGATGGTCAAAAGCGCATTTATTCCTACGTTTGTCTTCTCATGCTATGAGTAAGGCCATAGTCGATACGAAAAGTTTTCTGACCGGAGCAAGTCTTGTCTATTTCCCCTCATGTTAAGTTTACGGGTGTATAATAGCAAGATGGACATTGGGTTTATGCATAAAATTTCAAATATGTAGATGTCAGCTGTTCTTATTAAAATGTACCTATATGAATAAAAATTGATATTGATTCCAGAAGGCCAACTGTTAAAATATATTAAAGAAGGTAAGAACGGAATTAGTAATCATTCCAACGTCGTAACGTTCGCAATTCAGACATTTTTCTTTTTTCAAATTTCAGACTTCCCAGTGTTAAAACTCGACAAAAAGTACATGACTATTTAAAATTTTATAAAACCTGGCAACCCTGCAAATGTCATTTTACTCTGTGTTAAAAAAAGACAGATTATAAGAAATGCACATTCCATCTATTGGTCGTTCAGGAGAACTAAAACGAACGTACCAAGAACTTTGGAACAACATCGTTAAGATGGCAGGCTTTCAGTGCGTTCCATTATAATATCATAAAGATAGTAACATAGCATGACATCAATAACGTGACCGAGGATTTGACAGATTACAATTTGATTCGAGAACTGAAAACAAAGAATTAACTAATTATTTGACTGTTGGCTCCTCGCGGATAGAGTTTTAGCCAAAAATAAACAGAACAATATTTATCTTAACCCTTAAAAAAGTATTAATAAAGAAAAATAAATTCTTTGAAGTTTGTATCCAATCGACAGTTATTAGCTCAGGTAGAGGCCGCATAGAATAAGATGGGAAAAAATATTAATAATAATTATTTATTTCAGAAAGTACATGTACAAGCTAATTGATCAACGGCAATTCAAAATTATTAGGTTTGTACATACTTACAATTTATAAATTACATGAACATGAATGAATTTTGATATACAATTTCTTTGACACAGTTTGAGTATAAAAATTTAATTATTGTTTAAAGTTTCTAGGTTTGCTAAAATTACCTTAGATTTTGGATTACTATGAATATCGATGAGTAAGTGAATAACAAAATTGTGGTGATACATATTATGAGATTGTATAGGTATATAAATTTGAGAAAATTCGAGGTAAAGTACATTACGAATTTTAAAATTACAGAAATTTCAGTTTTATAATCCAATTCAGGACAAGTATGTTATGAGTATTATTTATTTAACTCTGTAGTTATTAGGAGCTTTGATCATTATTGAATATGTTAGCCCCATTCACGGACATATATCTAGGTAGACGCCGCAAGTACAGCAATTTGTATGAAAACCAAGCGTGCCACATTTTTTATACCCACTATGACGTCGCAAGAACTATTCAGTGATGGAAACCTCCTTCCGCTCGCTCTAAGTCGATTGATTGAACGGAATACGCGTAAACACGCGTATTAATTACGTGTATTCCATCAAATTAATCGATTCTAAATATAATAATTTTCATGTATTTGTTGATTACAAGTAGTCGTAAAATTAATATACTAGAAAAATTCTAGAATGAGATAGTAAGTCGTTTATTTTACTTGTTTTAAAAAAATGTTGATTACTTTAAAAAAATTAAGACTTTAATTTTTAATTGACTTCGAACATTAAAATTATTGTCCTTCCAATAAAATGAGCTTATTATATAACATTTTTTTGTAATAGAAGATCTTATCGATTAACTTCAATAATGAAAACGCATGTCAATATATGAACTTGCGACTGCCTTAATTAATTTTACTAGATGGTTTTCTGTTGGTAATTGATCAAATTGATGAATAGTAAGACAAATGAAAATGTAAAAAATAATTGTTTTTAAAATAAATTATGCATCTTCTGATTACAAAATCACTTGCCCCTGGATGGAAACGTCCCAGTTTACCCGTTTACCCGCAGGTGTGGTGATTTCGCAGTTGGCACAATTATGCATTTTTCGCGTTTCCGACTGGTAATAACGGTCGAGCGCGTTCTGAAATGTAGCAGCAGCCAGTAAGTGAATTTCACTTACTTTGGGCACGCGAAGTTCGTACACTTGCGGCGTCTATCTAGATATATGTCTATGGCCCCATTAGAAAAACAATACATAAAAAAACGCTTAATAGAATCCAAACATGAATCAAAATACTACTTAACTAAACGTGTACAAAATCTTCGCAGCACTATGTGGGTCTGTAAAGTACCAAATTCCTTTAAATTGGGTATAAAGATTTCGCGTAAGCATTGCTGTCCCACATAAATTGCAAAAATTTAGGCCTTTGGGCTATTATTGCCCCGCGTTCTGATTTCGGTGCGTCTTTGTTGATAATTACAATAATTGAGGGCAGAACACTTGCCGTCATAATATTTATTCTCTAATCCTGGATTGGACTAGCACTCATTGAGTATAGTAATCAGTAGCAAATACAACATTGATCGGGAGATGATGTTAAGAATCGATTGCGGATTGGAAGGAGGGAAGGGAACAAAGGAAATTTATTTCTGGATTTTAATTGGCTAGATTGTTGAAAGAAAATACATTTTTTAAATTGTTTTAATTAACATTACATACATATACCTACTGTCTCCCACTGGGGTAGTCAGAGACTATGTATCTCCACCTGCTACGCGTCTGACAAACTTCTCCTTCGCCTTCTACACTTCCATCAGTCTCTTCAGACATGCCCGTTTATTTCTGATACTTTTAACGAGTTATTTTAAGGCCATCCCCAATCTGATCGAAGTAAGTGCACTGAGGTGTATTTTTCCCCACGCCTCCGTCAACATTCGCTCTATTTTGTGCCGTAAATCTATCAATACATTCTTTCTACATGATCGGAGGACCACTCCTCTATCCTGTAGAGCTCAACACAACAGATCACGACTTGCGCGAGAGCGACATAGGCGCGCGAGATATTGTTATTCTCTATGCGAGAATAACAGATCTCGGGCCTTACTTTTGAAGGGTGCTGGTGAAATTACAGGCACGTGAGACTTGTCAAGTTATGACTCAGAGTGACGGGCGCAGTGGCAGTGCCCCTAAAATTTTTGCGATTTAAAGTTCTTAGTGGCAATGAAACTGTTACGGACAGGCGTGTAGCTTACCATAAGGCGCACGACTAGTCCTTCCTATCACTTGATATTATAAAAAAAACTTATATCGCTCTCGCACAAGTCGCGCCCTGTTGTGCTAGCTACCGGTCACTATTATCGAATTACTACAACGCTCTCTTATTACAATGAACGAAAAGTGTCTTGTATTGTTTTAAGAAGTAATAAATTAGATTTATTTCTTGGTATGCATATGGCATAGGAAATGTACACAATATTGGTAGCCTATCACAAACTATTTATAAAATTTATTTTTTCCGAAATAACGTTTGTTCGAATTTTCATTACCCCGAAAACCGAATTATAACGAAACCATTGTTCATTACAATAACAATGTAACAATAACGCACACACTCAACATAACCCCGCACTAGGGAAACCCTGTGTCGCGGATGCCATGGACACACACATAGACAACCACAATTTACACCCAAACTCGAGAGAAATAAATTTTAATGTAGGCCATACAGATATTTCTCCCGGCCCGGGAATCGAACCTTGGCAGTCTGGTATGGTAACCGTTCGGCCACGGAGTCACTTTTGTTATGTTAGTTCTTTCAGGATATGTTGGATGTTTCTCGCAAAGACACGATTAGGTTCGGTTAGGTTAGGTTTAAAAGAAAAAACATTTACCTCTCAAAATTACTGTCGAGGTTATGAAGATTCGAGCAAAACGTTATTTCTGGAAAATGTCATTTCGGACTTCTGATAGGTAACCACACAATATTACATAAAGAAAGAGAGAGTTTCAGTTAAGAATAGAGTAAGGTATGATCACACATTGCAGCAGGATTTACTGTGTACAGTTTACATCGGTTTACCAATTGCAAATACATAATTTAACCTTCGTTCGCCTAAATATATAATATATTAGCAGCAGTAGAGCTCCGTGTGAAAGAATTCGTCCAGGGAAGTACTGCCACCTTACCTATTTCTGCCGCCATGCAGTACCTAATGTGAAAATGACTTCGTTCCGGTTTGGAAGGGTAAGGGTGCTGATGAAATTACAGGCACATGGGGCTTTTCAACTTATGTCTCAGGGTGTGACGGGCGCAGTGGCAGTGCCCCTCTCACATCTTTGCAATTTAAAGCTCTGAGTGACACTGCAACTATTATGGAATAGGCGTGTTGCTTACCACCAGGCGCACGACTTTTACGTCCCGTCACTTGATATTATACAAAAAAAAATCGTAATAATCTGTTTTTATGGTCATCCTTACCAGAGTTTCGTAGTCTACACCTGCAATACGTGGTATTACAGTTTCCTCATCAAGATTCACTAATATAATATACCTAGTACACTAATATATCTTAAGGGCGCATTTATTCGATACGAATTTCAACGCGGTCACCCGCGCGCAGCGGTCGCGGTCGAAAGGCGGAGCCCGCGTTGCCGCCGCGCAGCGACCGCGTGCGTCCTGGCAAAATATGCTCTATTTTTTAATTTAAACGAGCGTACCGGACACGCGGGCTAGCCTAGCTTAAATTTGGTCTACGCGGCGGCCGTTCGGTAATTTTATTGAGAGGAATTTGAATGTTGTTGCATAATAAATAGAATTCAGATTCGAAATTAATGTATATGAAGGCGTGGTAACTGGGCGGTCGCCGCGCGGCGGCCGCGTGAAAACTTTCTTCTCGTGTAACTGGGCGCTAAGAGTTTCTTCTACCCTGGAGTATCTGGCCCGAAAACATAGCTGGAGTGACCTGCAGAGGCAATGTTAAGTCTCAGCGGTACCAAAATTTACATTTATTAGTTATTCTTCTTACTCTTCAAGGGGCAGCTTTCCTCGTTTACTTTTTTCAGTGGCAGCTTCTGATTCGCGTAAGTGCTGGAATGACCTGCAGACTTCGGTAAAAAATGCCAAACCGTTATATTCTTTAAAAAAGAAAATCAACGGTTCCTGTCTTTGCAAAAATCGAGTAGCAATTGGTCCGTAGTTAAAACCCCTAGCAACACTTGGTAAATAAAATTTCGAATTTTTAAATTACAATTTTTTAATTTTTATACCTCTTACATAAAGTGCAGTACATAATCTGTATAATTAATTGGTGTTTAGTGTAGGAACACTTCGCTTGCCGGTCTGATGCAGGCAGCGAATAGCTACAGGTGAGGACTGAAAATCAGCAATGCTGAGTCTTCCTTCTTTTTGTGCAATCATTGTCCACATTACTGTTTTTTTAAATATAAATAAATGTCTTTTCATTTTATTTATTTATTTAGTTTATGCCGTCTTATTGGCCGTTTTCTCTTGCTCCTAGTGGGTGCTCCTACTAGTACGGAGCACGAGGACTAATATATCCATGTGCTCCTACCGTGACGTCGTATCTAATAACTACACTCAACTAGAATAAAAAGTCTTTAGTACAAACTGGAGTTTCAAGTATAGAAGTTACGAGCACTGCGAGATTTGCGTAGAAGTTACGAGCACTGCGAGATTTGCGAGTTTTTGCACTAATATTTATAATAAATTTTTGATAAACCTTCAAAGCAATTCTAAAACATCTAAACTACATAAAACAATAAAAGCCGTCCGTGATCTCGATGCCGGTCAGTCGATTTTCCTGCTCAATTCGGGACACTGTTCCATAAACACTTTAACCTCGTTGCTGGTATTCCTCGAGATATATAAGTTTGTCGTCTGTGGTAGATGCACAATGCATTCTCACCAAAAATCAATTAATTGTAGTGGATTTTCAGAAATCAGTACAATTATACAGGTTACTAAAAACATATAAAATAAACAGTTAGAACAAAATTTTTTGCACCAATTTAAAAAAGATTTGATGGACATTGCAAAAGATGGATATGTAGGTTTTTATATATTTTTTTTTATTTATTTTTACATCACAATAAGGTATTAAAAAGTTTCTTAGAGCAGTTTATCCGAGGGTATGCAAAATATGTACATCGTTTATTTTTAACAACTGTAGTTATGGCGGCAAAATAAAAAAAATACTTATTCATCTTCATATTACGGAAGTCTTCTTTTTCTTGCATCCTTGATGTCAATGAAAATCGATAATTTTATGATATACAATTATAGGCAATCAACAATGTGTATGTTAGTCAGTAACGCTTTCTTAACATTGGAAATGAAAATGTTGTTTCGAATCTGAAATGCACATATTTGTTTATCAAACAATGTTGCAAACAAATCAAGGTAATGGGGTCTTTACCACCCTATTCTGAACTATAGTTTTAAAAATGTATTAATTTCGATACTAATTCTTAATTTACCAAAGATTCCGATTCCGCTTTTCCGATTTTCCCTACGCTTTGCAAATATTCTATTTTAGTAATGTAATTTTTTACGTATGAATTGATTTTATTAAAATTTATTTTAATAAAGTAAATTAGAAATAATTTAAAACATAGTAATGAGTAGTACTGCAGTTTATGTCTCAGTGGGATTTTTCAGAGCAAATACTGGATCCTAAGCTAGTGGTAGTCTATTTATCAACAGAACTAATGGGAAGAAAAGTACCAATAGTTCTGTCAACCGAACTGTATAACAGAATTAGTGGCAGAGAAAATGCTCAGTAGTTCTGTGAAAAAAACTGTCTATTTATTAACAGAACAAATGAGAAAAAACGTGTAATAGTTCTGTCAACACAACTGTACAACAGAACCAGTGGGAATTTTGGGTACAGAGAAACCTTTCTTGAAATCAACGTTGAAATTAGGATGTTTTTGATTTCAACGGCTTCTCGCAGCATCCTGAGAAGAAAACGGACTTCTTTTGCAATTGGCAACGTCTGGCAATCCCAAAATCCTAAGAGCTCGACACTTAGACATAAAGTGCATTCTACATTCTCGCCCGCACAGTTGTCCGTTCGGTAGTGATACAAGACGGACGTGTTAGAGGCATCTATTGCTACAGCATTATGTGCCATAGCATATTATAATTTTTTGTTAATTCGAGAAAAAAAACTTATTAAGAGACGTTGGAATAGACGTGGATGGTGGATGACATCAATACATCGCAACAGAACATTGCGGTTACTGCCGGCGGACTGCCGTGGCGGGAATTTGGAGGAAAGGGTCTCGCGCAAACAAACTATACGAGAGCCCTTTGATTCGGGGCCGAAATACCGACACGAAGTGGAGACCACACGAACATAGGCGAGACTTAACGAATATGGTCACTACACTCTCGTGTTTGGCTGTTCTCGTGAAGTTTTGGCAAGAATGTGGAGTTTTAAATTTACTACTATGCCACTCGTAATAAGAATGATTCAAAATAGTCTATTCTTTTATATAGAAAAAAATCCATTGAAGTAATGGTTGAAAATAGCTCGTGTTATGATAAAATTGTTAAACATCTACTTTTCAAGACATTATACCCAGTCAATACCAAGAAATCGGCGAAAAATCACTGTAAAAATCGAATGTGTACAAATAGTGTAATGTGTAAGTGCAATGATGCTTGCGAGAACTTTCCTGGCCTTTGTTCGATCTTCTTACGAATACACTTCGCTCTTAATTAGTGGCATTGCAACTGTTATGGATAGGCGTGTCGCTTAGCACGCCTAACGACTTGTTCGTCCCGGCACTTATTATAAAAGAAAAACTTTAAATGCATTTTCAAGGAAAAGGTAAAGGCACTTCTTCCAGACACTCAAAAAAAGGATATTCCACAGCACTTCGTTTAGGTGGCGACTTGGCTACGAAACGAATTAGCTACATAACATTGTGTAATACCAACAGGATTTACCTATTTATAATTATTATATGCTTTATTGCACCAAATAAAATATAACAGAAATATTAGATTAACAGAAAGTGAGGACTTATCTCTAAAAGAGATCTCTTCCAGCCAACCCAAGGCAGTGAGAGCTAAGGTTATAAGCGGACAATAGCGTGCAAGAGAACATGAATTGACCACAAAGTTCTGCCAAAGCAATACATAATTATGCAAGAATTATTCTAACAATAGTTACGAGACTTCTGCTTTATAAAATCATTGGTTTTATATTTCTGTGCTACAAATTTATACCAAAGAAGTCATTGCACTAATGAAATAAAGCTAACCGCGTTCGGAATAATTACAAAAAAATATGTTTGTAATATGTTGTGGTTTCATTTACAAAGTCTGGTAGCCGTTTCGATTCACAAATTTCTCATATCGAGTGGTTCCCAACTTCATCATTCTTCACTAGGTAGAAACACTAAGTTTAGGAATTCGAAAGAAAAACCACTAACTTTTTGTAAGTTTGTATTTTTATCTTGATTACTTAAGTGAATTATTACAACACATTCTTTATGATAGAAATAATGGATAGTTAGAGAATTTCGTACTAAAATAATCTTGAAATAAGTTATCGTAAATTTGTTGTTTGCGTTAATCGTTGAATCAATATCAATTTTAACTAATGTATAGTTTTGACGTTCTAGTTCAACGATTTTACAGGTGATCATAAAACTAAAAGCTCCATTACGCGTCTCGTCCAATGATTGTAAAGATATTTCTTCTGACATTGTGGTAGCAAAATAGCGGATATAGGCCAAGATTTCACATGCTTTGAACGGTTCAACACGACGTTTCGAGGCGATAGGCTCAGGAGAAATGCGAGCTGTCCTGTATGCTTTCACGGAAGTTTTTCGGCGTCTGTCGGACATTTTGGTACCCTATTGTTGGTAAGGATCTCAAAGTATTGTCTATTAGATGTGGGGTCTCTTTCTGTCTCAAAAGAAGGCGAACATTTTGGCGGTGACAACGAAATTTTCACAGTGGGTTGAGAATCGCAAATGTTCGAAGGGTCTGCGCAATGACTTACTAAACAGCCACAGCAACAAGGGCCGCATGGTCCGCAACCACATAAACAAGGATTGCACCCGAAGGGAGGCCTGTTTGGGCCACTAACAAAGCCAAGACAAGAAGGACATGATCCATAAACTATTGGTGGGCCACAGGAGCCGCAACACGGTCCGCAAGGGCCGCCAACGCAACAAGGGCCGCACGGAGTGATACACCCGCAGCTTGGGAACCCAGAAGGCGCGCAGCCACCTGGCCATGGGCACACGCCACAAGGTCCACAAGGACCGCAACATCCACATGGTCCGCATCCACAAGGTCCGCATCCACAAGGTCCGCATCCACAAGG